GGCTGAGTTGACCCTCTGTGTACCCTGTACGTTTAGCTGTAGGTCAGTTAAGGAGCATGTTTACCAAAAAGGATGGCTTTCTAGCAGGAATTAGCATAGCAGGACCTGTGTCTAAGAGGACTACTCCTTTCCTCCCTCCCTTCCGCTTATTCATTAGTTCAGCAAATACTTAAGTGTTTTTCAGGTCTGTGTTACAAAATCCCATCCTATCTTGCATATACAAGCATCCTTATATTTTCACTTTCTGTTGGCGGAGTGATGCATCCAGCTTATTTAAAATGGATATCATGTGAATAAGGAGCAGTTTAAAAGGGAGGGGGGGCCCAACATATCTGGTATTTTATCCCATTAGACATTAATGTCTTTTGTCAAGAGACTAGTGCTATCGTCCTTCCCTGTTACAGTGGTATTAAGGTACAGATTCTGGGCCTTAGAAGCCAGAAGAGAGAGGATGAGCTCTGTTTATCTTAGTTCCTAACCATTTTCTTTCTCCTGAGTCACTGACTTAGGAACAAGCAATAAAAGCTGCAAACAATCTTTTATTATTCCCATGGATTTCTGTCTAAGATGATAAACAGTGGATGTGAGTCACTGTAAAAGAACATCCTTGTAAAAGTGTAATAGAACATAGTTGGCTGGGCAAGCCTACAGTCGGTGTAGGATACTGGATTTATAATGTGTGAAGGTACAATTTAGATGGGAAGTCTAGTGGTTGAATGGTAGGATTGAGAGAAGGGCTGCTTTCTTATTTGCCAGGGTTTTAAGTTCTACGCTAGATCCAAACACAATGCCATCAGTTTCAAGAGAAAGAGGTGGGCACGGCCCAGCGTGCCCTTTAGGGTGGTCCTCCATCAGCTCCTCTCTGTTCTGTTGACCTTGAGTGTTCCAATTCATTGTACCCTATAAACCTGAACCATTTGGAAAATAGGACAATAAAGGAGAAAGGGGCTGGCAATATTGCCATCAACCCTGATGAAGCTTATGTTGGAGAATGTGGGTTTTCTTTGTAGACAGGTGGGTTTCCTACATTTAAATCCTGGCATTCAAGAAATGTGGCCACCCAGTGATGGCCAGCTCTGGCCAAGCCCCTCCCCTCCCCTAGCACCACTGGCAGCGAGGGCCCAAGGGCTGCAGGACTGACCTCTGCTCCCTGGGAGCACTCATCTTCCCCCACCCGGGAAGCAGGGAGCAGGGCTATGCGTGCCCAGTTCTCTCCCAAACCCCCAAAGCCAGGAATTCACCCCCTGGAGCAGGGGGATTATGCTGGTGCAGGGCCCTGCAGAGGAGACACCATGAGTGGGGCCTAGTTCATGCCCACATAACTGTGTCCAGAACTCCACTCACATGAGCAGAGCTGGTGGTCAAATTCCAATGTTCACAGAAGGACTAATAATGACGGGATTGATTTTTTGAAAAGAGAACTCTCTCAGGTGGCCCCTTCCAGTTTGATTGCCTATCACCACCCTACCCCCTGGTTTGTCATCCTGCAGTCCTCACCAGCTCAGGCTCCAGACCATGGGTTAGTATCTCCTGGGAGACAAGGTAAATCTGTGTTTACATTTTCAGCAATCTGATCATTGTAAGAAGGGAAGCATCTCCCTCGGGGCACAAAAGGCAGGGATTTTTTGTTTTCTAAGATTGTACAAGTAATACACAAATGTGCTCACTGGAAAACAACAATCTAATAGTAAACTGAACACAAATCCGTCTCTCCCTCACACTTACCCATCTCCTCTCCCTCCATAGGTGACCCTGGTGACTGTTTCACATCCATCCTTCCAGACTTTAAAAAAGTATATAGAATTAAGGTTTTTATTAGACATATCACTCTGCAACTAGTTTAAAGAGTTTTCTATATCCTTCTGGATTTATTCATATTTTCCTTATCTTTTAGAGTTTTAATTTAAGAGCAGTATGGTCCGTTTAACCATTCCTCTTGCAAACCTTTAGTTGCCGTTTCAGTTTTTTGCTGTTTCTAATAATGATGCAGCACACATCTTTGTATCTGCAGATAGCATGGGAAAGCACCGTGGTTTGTCTCTCTTCTTAGCCCTCTGTTCGTACTGGGTAAGCACAAATGCAGAGACACCCCAGGGAAGGAGTGCCTGATGGAGGAGAGTGACCATCCTTACCCATGTAGAGCATCCATCGTAGGGCGGGAGTGGGGAGGGGGAGGGCTGACCATGATACAGAGTCCAGTGCTGACTCCAAAGGTGGAAACCCAAGCATAGCTCTGTGGGTGAGTCCCAAGTCCTGCCTAGTGGTATCTGTGGGTTTTGGGGTTCATTGGCTGGAGAAATTCCCATTTAAATGCATCCTTATTTGGAAAAATGGCCCATTTGGGAATTAACTCTTTTTCAGCAACTCCCAAGTAGACCCCATTGGGAATATAAGTTAAAATACTGCCAGGTGTGATTGCATTATATATATTTAAGGCTCAGGACATGCAAATCTTAGAAAGCATTTACTTCAAAATCAGCCATCCTTCTTAGCAGTAAAAACCTGCAGGGGGCTGGGGCTGGTGGCGGTAGTGGTGGTGGGGACCCTTTCTTGGATGGCCTCATGCAGTTGCTCAGGAAACACTGCTTGGCATCGTTCTGCTGAGGAGGATTCTTCCTAAAGCTTGCTGTTGTGTGGACGGTGACCCTGGCTTGAAGTTCAACACCATCAGACCTTACCTTGTCCGTTATGTTGCTTTCTTAAGTCTTGGCAAGATGCCTGCTCCTTGTCTGCCTCGCCTCTGCACCTCAAGGCAGCCTTTTTGGGTCTCATGCTCCGTGTGCTCCGTGTTGCACACCTAGCTCACCTCTCCTTGCTACACCTCCTACCCCAGTGTCCATCCCATACCTGACCTGACCCTGGTGATGTGAGGATTGATCACCTTTGATCTCAGCCAGTTGGTGGGACCGTGATTGGCAGAGAGTGTCTGTACCTCTAGCTCAGATTTCTCTTCTGACTTCCAGACTCAGACTTACAAGCTTTCTCCCTGTGAATGTCTGATAGGCACATCATTTCTACGTCCAAAAACAGGCTCATCTTTTCCTCCAGACAGATGGTCTCCCCTCCTGTACTTCCTGTCTTGGCAAATGACACTCCGGAGAACACCTGCGAATCATCCAAGCCTCTTCCCTCTTTTGGGCCCTGTGTTCAGGCAGTCCTAGGGATCTGAGCGCCTTCCTCCCTCCTGCCCCATGTCTTTGTTGCTTTGTGTCTGTTCGGGCTCTTCCTCTTCCTGTCCTGGCTAAAGCAACATTTCCTAACCGGTCTCAGTCTCAAAGCTCTCACCTGTCTGATTACTCATGCATGCGGGAGCAGGGGTGACCTTTCTGGTTGTGTCTTATTTATTTATGCCCTCAAGTTTCAGGAGGGATGTAGGTACGTACAGGCATCAATCATGTTACTGTCTTGCTTTATACCTGTCGTTGCTCCAGGTCCAAAGTGCTCAGCGTGGAGTCCACAGCCTGCTGTGACCTAATGCCCATCTGTCTCTCCACGCTTAGCTTTGGTCACAGAAAGCCCAAGAGGCCTCAGCACCCCGGCCCCTAGCACTTCCCCACCTGAGCATGGTGCTGCATACGTTGCCTAGCCCCAGGCTCTCAGATGACCGCAGGCCACAGGGTGGAGGCAGGACCCAGGGTGGTGCCCTCTGTGACCTGGTAAGCCAGAGAGGCACCTGCCCGGAAAGTGCATTCAGGAACTCAGCACTCCCACCCCACTGACTCAGCCTCATTCCCAAATGCCATGTGCACAGTGTCTCATTTCAGCCCTCGCCTCCTGCACGCACCCCTGCAGTCCCGTGCTGTGCACGTAGCTCTTAGTGTTGCAGAGTTGGCGGTAGCGACGTCCTGTAGAGCAGCTTCTTCCAAAGCGAGTGCCTGCAGACACTAATCCTAGAGGGTTGCCTGTCCCCAAAGCCAACGGCTGATGTATGAAGTTTGGGACACACCATATTCTGAGATTCTCAACACTCAGCAGTGCACTAAAGACTCTTCAAGAATCCCACCCGGTACATCTGCGGACACTTTGACCAAGGGACACTTCGTCACGTTACAGCTTAGACCGATCTCTCAAAACACTTTCTGATGTCACAAAGCATGGGCAAAGCTCCTCATCTCGCTGTTGGCCTGCTCCTGTGGCCCCCCATCCATCCTCGTCCCCACCCCATGACCACTGGCTTCAGGGAGTGGTAACGGCTGAGGGCCAGGCTCAGGTTCCTTGCCTGCAGCTGAGCAGCAATGGAGACATAATGCTTCCATTTCACTCTCTGCTCAGGTAGAAATTCTGAGCAGGGAGTTCAATGCGGGGCTCGATCCCAGGACCCTGGGATCGTGACTTGAGCCGAAGGCAGACGCTTAACAGACTGAGCCACCCAGGCGCCCCTAAAGAGAAAATCTTAATAAAGAAAAAGGTCAGGATAATAAAGCGATTTTCATTGCTTTTGTTCTCTGTGACATCTGACTAGGCAGCTTTAAGCGCCTCTGGGAGTTTGGTTGGGGAGAACCCGTTTGTTTTTTTATGGAGTATTCCTTGGAGCAGAGTCGCAACAAACCAAGGGTGGTAGGCAGCTTGGGAACTACTTGAGTAGTGTGTAGCTTAACTTCAGTTTGGGCTAATTTTTATTTTATTTATTTAAAATTTTCTTTCTTTGTTTTAGAGAGAGAGTGTGCTAGTGAGCGTGCCTGTGAGGCTGGGGGCGGGGGTAGAGCTGAGGGAGAGGGACAAGCAGACTCCGCGCAGAGCCTGACGCAGGGCTCATCTCATGACCCAGAGATCATGACCTGAGCTGAAATCAGGAGTTGGACGCTTAACCGACTGAGCCACGCAGGCACCCCTGTTTGGGCTAATTTTTAAATCATACATGATTATGATGGGCGAATCCTGATGGATCAAAACCTTTGCAAATCTGTTGATTCTGTGTGAGTAGAGTGATTTAGGATTAATGCATCGTTCTCACTGCTTAACATGGTCTCTCTTCTTCTCTTTCCACCCCCCACCCCCAGGCTTCAACCATGTTAAGAGCCTCCTTGGCACCCGGGTAAGTAATTGCTCTTAGGAATTGTTAGGATGGTAAACAGCTCTAGGTAAAACTAGAATTCAAACTTTAATAAACATTCATCTTAACAGCCTAGCTTAGAGGAGAGCCTTTGATTAGCTAGAGCTCCGTGTGGATATAAAGGAAATACCAGTAATTATAAGTAATACTGTTAAACTAAAAGTATCTTTTAGTATTAATTCTATTTATTTTGGAGAGATCACATCAAATGGAAAAAAACTGTTGAATTGTTCCTATGATATTCTGTAGAGATTAATCTTCTATTGTAGGGCAGTCAACAGCACGTTGCAGTGTCTAAATTTTATGTTCTTTGCTGGCTCACATGTGACCAGGGCCACAGGATGGCTCTGTGGATGCCTGAGCATTCCTATCCAAATCGATTAGGTTGTCACCGTGTGGGTGTCTGATGTTCGGGATCTTCATCCGGTGTGTATGTTGCAGTAACAAGGAAGTTGAGAACCTTTGGCAGAGGCATGAGGACCAGGGTGGGTTCTGGTGACCCTCTGAGCACCCCCCTTGTTGTGGGGTTTCGGGGGGTGCTGTCAGATTACTCAGACACCTGGGAGAGACACAGCCGGCCTCCTTCCTCAGTCCTGCCTGAGTCTGACACTGACCCTGCACTTTGTTCTCTTCAGACGACGGCTGTATAATGTAGTGCTTATGAGACAGACTGCCGGGGTTAAAATCCCACCTCTGCTGCCGGCTCTGTGACCTTGGACCACTTATGTAACTTCCCTGTGTCTCAGTTTCTTCACTTGTGAAAGGACAATAATAGTAATAACTTTCTTATAGGGTTATTGTGAGGATAAAAATGAGTTCATGTGTATAAAGCACTTAGTACAATGCTGGGGGACTTAATAAACTCTCTGGGTGTTTGCTAATGTCATTCCCAGTGGTGTAAGAGGCAAGCTTACCTGCAGAGAGTAAAGGGGGTAGTCAGTGGAGGGGCTAAAGGGGACAAAGGAGAAGGTATGACACAGTCTTCTTGGACAATGGGAGAGTGGCTGGACCACAGAAATGTGGGGCTGCTGAGCAACTTAGCTGGCAATAAATTTATTGGCTAATATTGCCATTATGGGCAAGTAACTATGGCCCACGTTTGACAACTTCCCTTCCCTCCAGAAGAAGCACCCCAGCTATAGAACAGTTTTAGATGTGGCTTTACAAATGGAACTTTCTTTTCTAGAACAAGACCTTGTTTAAATTTTAAATTAAAGAATCTTTTTTTATGTTGAAATAATTTCACAGCTGCAAATATTGTGCAAAGAATTCCCCTATGCCCTTCACCCAGATTCCGCATGTTGATATTTTGCGTAAGCCCGGTACAGTTATCAAAGTCAGAAAATTAATGCTGACGCCGTATCATCTCACCTACAGGCCTTTCTCACATCTTACCAGCTGCTCTATTACGTCCTTCGTCTGGTCCAGCATTCAGTCCAGGATCACACGTTGATGTGGTTGCCATGTCTGTGTTTCCTTTCTTTTGAAGTTATTCTTCAGACTCTGTCTTTCATGGCCTTGACACTTTCAAAGAAGACTGGCCAGTTCTTTGTAATTGGAATTTCTAAAGTATCTGTGTTCCTTCCAAACACAGTGGTATCTGCCTCAGGAGAATACGTGTCAGAATAATGAGTGTGCACATGTGCATGGCTCTGCTGTGTGATGTGCAGAATAGAGCCTCCTCCCAGGAGCGTTTACTGGGATCTCATCTGTTGCCCCGTTCTCAGGCCTTTTCTCCTGGGCCCTATGAGAGGACCTCATTTTGTCTTTTAAAAACTAACATTAAGAAAACTAGCATGTAGTATTTTTTTATAATGTAATACATGCTCATTATAGAAAAGTTGAATGCTATAGGCACATATGAAGAAAATTTACAGTACCCTAAATGCTGTCCCCCTGGGGTCTTACCTCCTTTCCACCCTTCCACCCACCCTTACCTCTATTCCATCCTTTAAAACTAATGCAATGAGTGAAATGGGTGAAGGAGACCAAGAGGTACAAACTTGCACTTATAAAATAGAAACTCCTGGGATGCAGTGGACAGCCTGGGAGCTATAGTCAGTAATACTGTATTGCAAATTTAAAAGTTGCTGAGAAAGTAAATCTTAAAAATTCTCATCCCAAGAAAGGAAACATGGGAACTTTGTATGGTGACAGAGGGTAAAGAGACTCAGTGTGGTGACCACTACACACTATGTACAAATGGCGAATCATTATGTCGTAGGCCTGCAACTAATGTAATGTAGCTCAGTTACACGTCAATGAAGAGCAGAAGAACCCTTCATCTTTTTTTTTAAGATTTTATTTTTTTTGTAATCTCTACCTCCAACATGGAGCTTGAACTCACAACCCCAAGATCAAGAGTTGCACGCTCTACCGAGTGAGCCAGCCGGGCACCCCAAGAACCCATCATCATGCATCTTTTCACCCAAGTCCTCATGAGCCCCCGTTTAGCATTGTGGCGGGAATATTGATCTTAGTATTAATATTCCCTGCACAGTGTCAGGAAAACCATACCGTCGTTTTTGACTTGTTTTATGCTGAAATGATTATAGAATCACAGGAAGTTGACCCCCCAGGCCCCTTCCCCCTCCCATGGGGGAAAACAGCTGGGCCACTGCTGGTGTCCCGATACTCAGGAGGTCTAATGAATGTGCCCTTTTGCCCTTTTCTCCCTCTCTCTGAACTTGTGTGGCTGAGTAGGAAACTGAAGGATGTCCCATTGCTGCCCTCCTTGGATTATGAGAAACTGAAGAAGGATTTGATTTGGGGGAGTGACCGCTTGAAAGCCTTCTTGTTGCAGGCTCTGCGCTGGGTATGTACCTTTCCCTTGAAGTTAAGAAGAAAAAAAAGACCATGCCGGTTTCCTTGGCTGGCTACCTTGCTTGTATCTTGTACCCCATTTACCACAAATGCTTCTTCGTGCTGCCTGCCGACACCAAGAGCTAAAGGTAAAAACAGCTTCTGAAGACAGCCTTGGCCTCTTGGTAAGAACCCGGGTGTTGAGCTCGCAGTTGCCCGTGCTGTCCCTCGGTCGTTTGCTCTGTGCAGTTTCAAGCCTGCCCCCGTCGTCAGTCGTGAGCCAGCCTCCCAGCCAGCGGGGTCGGCGCGGGAGAGCCCAGAGTCACTCTCGTGACAGCTTCACAAAGACCTCTGCATTTAGGTGCTCCCTGGGGCCACTCGAGCAGACAGCAGGGGTGGACACTGATGAACCAGTCTTTAAGGGAAGTCAAGCCTCGTCTGAATTGTTGCTTTTCTTCCCACTCTTCAGATTGGTCCCAGTTAAGCCAGTGGTTCTCAAGATTTTTAGTCTCAGACCCATTGGCACTCTCAAATTGCTGAGGACCTTAAAGGGTTTAGTTTATGTGAATTTTATATACCAATATTTATAGTATTAAAAATTAAAACAACATTTTATTTTTAATTTATTTTTTAAAGATTTTATTTGACAGAGAGAGACACAGTGAGAGAGGGAACACAAGCAGGGGCAGAGGGAGAAGCAGGCTTCCCGCCGAGCAGGGAGCCCGACGCGGGGCTCGATCCCAGGACCCTGGGATCATGACCCGAGCCTAAGGCAGACGCTTAATGACTGAGCCACCCAGGTGCCCCAAAACTGAGAACATTTTAAATATTCATTCATTTAAGATGAACAGCAATGAACCCAGAACATAACATAAATAACATATTTTTGAATATAAAAAAATAACCATTTTCCTCTTTTACATTTTTTTGAAGCTTTTATTCATTTTGAAAGAGAGAGAGAGAGAGAGAGCACGAGAGTAGAGAGGGTCAGAGGGAGAAGCAGGCTGCCTGCTGAGCAGGGAGCCCAACGTGGGGCTCAATCCCAAGACCCTGGGATCATGACCTGAGCCAAAAGCAGATGCCCAACCAACTGAGCCACCCAGGTGCCCTAAAAATAACTATTTTCCAAACAAAAAAAAATAATGAGGAGAGTGACATTTTTTTATATTTTGGCAAATTTCTTTAATGTCTGGCCTGATGGAGGGACAGCTGGATTCTCACATCCGCTTCCCCAATTGATTCATCACAGTGTCACACTTCATATAGCCTCTGAGAGATTGACCATGAAAAAGATAAATCAGGGGCTCCTGGCTGGCTCAGTCAGTAGAACATGCGATTCTTGATCTCGGGTTCTTGAGTTTGAGCCCCATGCTGGGTGTAGAGATTACTTAAAAAAATAAAATGTTTAGGGGCACCTGGTGGTTCAGTCCAGTTAAGCATCTGCCTTCGGCTCAGGTCATGATCCCAAGGTCCTGGGATTGAGCCCCACGTCAGGCTCCCTGCTCAGCAGTGAGTCTGTTTCTCCCTCTCCCTCTGCCCCTCCGCCTGCTTGTGCACTTTCTCTCCCTCTCTCAAATAAATAAATAAAATCTTAAAAAGAAATAAAATAAAATCTTTTAAAAAAAGATAAATTATATCTTAGTATTATTATGAAAATAATCATGACCTTGTAGACTCCTTGGAAGGTCTTTGGGGACCCCTAGGATTCCACAGACTACACCTTGAGAACTGCAGGTCTAGGCCAACACTGGTTGGCTCTTTAACTGAATGAGCCATTCTAACTTAGGCTGTAATCGTGTCAGACGCCTTCATGGATCCCTGAATTTCAGGGTATGTTGGCGTCAAAATGGCTTTGAGTAATTTCCCCATCTCTATAGAAAAGGGTCTCCTCACTTGCACTTCTGATGGTTGGTCGTGCTTCCTGGAATATGGTCTTGAGGAGTACTCTGAGGATGCATCCAGGATCAGCAGGAGTCCTGTGGTCAGTTGGTGATGTCTGCCTCAGTTGACTAGGGTGGGTGGGCAGCGTGAGGAATCTCAGGGGACTGTCCCTACCCCGCACATTGCCTCTGTCTGCTCAAGTTAGCAAACTCATTCTCTGGCTCCCACTTTGTCCACCCAGCACCTCCTCTCAATCCGTGCTACTGAGCCTCTTGGTGAGACAGGGTATTCCTTTGCTGAGTGAATGACATTGTCACAGAATAACCAGGAAGAATAAAGAGGTGTCTTAAGATCTTGTCTGTGTCCCCCTCCAGCTTCTCACCCCTCCACCCCATTCCAGCACCCTGGCCCCGGCTTCAGGGAACTGGATGATGGAAGGGCGGCAGCCCCCACCTGTGACGCTCTCGGCACACCCTCCTTTAATATGGTGCTCTCTCCCCTCACGGCCTTCCTGTTCGGCCTCGGTGGATCCAGTCTGTCAGCGACACCGCCTCTGGAGGCCTCCACCTTTCAGTCCTGGGGGTTTCTGCTGCTCTTGTCTTCTTCCATGTGGTTCTTTACACGTCAGCCCCTCCTCAGCAGAGGCAGGGCCCACAGTCTCAGGGGTCTTTAGTAGGATTTTCCTGGAAAAGCAAGGACATTTGCTCACTTTAGTTCTGTGACTTTCTCATATAATTCATGCTTGTACACACTCATACACATTTCACACACTCCCCATAGAACATTTTTTTTTTCTAGCCCCCTGGACAGTAAGTGAATTCTTCCTTAATACAATGCAAGAGGCTTATGACTTTCAGAATCTACAAAACTCTACCACCTACCCCTTACACACACTCACACACACACGCACACGCAGTATTGCTGCATCAGTCCCTATAGTATAAAGTCTAGTTTGTTGGCGATGCATTGGCTCCAAGCCCTCAGCAACCTGCCCTGTGCCGACCCCCACATGCCTCCTGCATTCGCACGCCTCCCAGACCTGTACCACACTTCCTTCCCCGCCCATGCTCACGTTCCCCTGTGCTGACTAAATAGCCTGCTCATCCTTCAGGGGCCAACTCTAGAGCCCCTTTGTGTGAGAAAACCTCTAGGTGTTGGTGGGCTCTCCCTTATTTATACACTTACCATCTGGGCATTTTATCACTTCCCTTCTCTGGAGATTTCATGTGTGTGAGTTGACTCCTACATCACCCATTAGGAAATATAATATCACAACTTCTTGTTAGTTGACTGGTTGCCTGGGTAGCTACTCCCACCCTCCCCCTACCAGAATATTATTTACTTTGGTTAAATATGTAGTTACTGCTACTGCCATTTAAAAGATACCCACTATATGAACATTTTTCTCCATATTAAGACTTGGGTCTGTGACTTTTCTTTTTCTTCATTCTAGCGCTTGACCACATCCCATCCTGGAGAGCAGAGGGAGACCGTTCTGGAAGCCTACGTCGGCAACGACCTCCTGGATTGTCACAGCCACAGCCAGGTCCGTGAGAGATGGGCCAGAGCCCAGCCAGGGCCTTCATTTCGAGGGGGTGATCTTAGCAGTAGGGGGCGGCTTGACTTTATATGATATGTCAGCCTAGTGACCGCATGTCAACCTCGAGCTTCTGGTAGCTGGTGAGATCTGCTACTTACCCCAGACTTTGGCCCACTTTTCACCTCTAATAGAGTGCTAAACAGGTTAGAACTGCTTGATTCAACTCTGGAGCTCTTTCCTGTCATGTTTCCTTTTCCCAAAATCCCAACTCTTTGTCTCACTCCACCCCTTAACCATGAGTCCTGCAAGCTCAGCATGACTTATGGCGGGCAAGGCAGGTAAGCCAATTCAATTGTTTTTCATCTGGGCCTGACTTAAAATATGTTAACACAATATTTGTATATAGTTTTGGACCAGATAGATCTGATGATGCAGTGGGCAAAGTATGGGATTTGGAGTGAAATTAACTGGTTTTAAACCTCTGCCCTACTGCCCATGAGCCAGGTAACCTTAAGTAAGATACTGGGTGTGTGGGCGCTTCCTATCTCGGAGAAGGAGCCATCACCTGCCTCGTGAGGTTGTGGGGATAATTGCGTTTGGTCACGTGTGGGAAGTACTTAACCCAGTGCCCAGCACAGAGTAGCCAATACGTGGTGGTTTCCCTCCCCACTCTTCACCCTGTTACCTGTTATCAACAGCAGGCTTCACTGGACAGGAGGAGAAGTGAGATCTTGAACATGGCATATAGAAAGACACTGCATTTCATTATCTGCATTCAGTGTTATCCAAAATGATCTAAATACTTTACCTCCCTATTCTGAAGCTTCACAGGGTGTGCACTGGGTGGAATATCAACATCCCTTAGGATTGCCGATGAAACAGCACCCTGCAGAACTAATCACACGTTAGTCTATCCTGCACACAGGCGTAGTGTTGGAGAATTTTGAGTTGCCAGTTTTTGTGTTTTTTTTTTTTTTCCAAAGATTTTATTTATTTGACAGAGAGAGAGACAGCGAAAGCAGGAACACAAGCAGGGGGAGAGGGAGAAGCAGGCCTCCCGCTGAGCAGGGAGCCCCCATGTGGGACTCGATCCCAGGACCCTGGGATCATGACCCGAGCCGAAGGCAGACGCTTAACGACTGAGCCACCCAGGGGCCCTTGAGTTGCCAGTTTATTCTTTGAATGTAGTCTTGCTGCTCCCGTGAAAGAGTTGTATTTAGTTTGAAAAATAGTCTCTCAAATTTTTGACTTATTTCCTTTTACTTTTATTTCTGCTTATTTTTGTAATGGCATTGAAACCAACTTATCAGGCATGAAGCAGCTGAAAAATATATTGTTGTGACTTTACAAACTCAGATTCAAAGAGTAAATTCAATATTGAATCTTTCTAAAACTATCTTATTTCATTAAATCTGAGATGCATTCCCCTCCCTCCCATTTTAGGATTCTGGGAAATTAGAACCTATCTAATAGTCAGTGGCCTGTTACAGCTTAATTGGCTTCTTGCCTGTCTTGGTTGTATATATAAAAAACAATGTGTTCTCTAATGAAAGACGTCCTAGGTTTTGTGATATTTGTCATAATGCTGTGATCTCTGTAGCCCTCGAAGACATGTCATTTCTTCCCCAAGTCATTATTTTTAATTGCCATGGTTTATTTTAAGCAAGGAATGAGCTGGAGCTATCTTAAGGTGTCAGAGAATCTGCAGAGCAGGAAAACTTGAGCAAAATGGATGCCATGTCACCATGACACCGGAGAGATTGGCCCTTTCAGCCAGGAAATTGGACCGGTCGTTCAGTGAGTTCTAATAGCTGAGCTATTCTCAGAGTTTATCATGCAGTCTTATCACCTGGAAAGCTCATTAAAACACAAACTACCGGGCCCCTGCAGTTTCCATTTAGTAAGTCTGGGATGGGGCCTGCGAATTTGCATCCCCAACAAGTTTTCAGGTGATGCTGCTGCTGCTGGTCCAGGACCACACTTTCGAGAATCACTATTCTTTCTTATCCAACCGAGAGAATAACATCCTATAGTTAACAGCTTTCGGAGAAAGGATGGGTGAGAAGTAGATTTTTTGAGATGATGTATGTCAGAAAATGTCTTTATTCTTTGTATGAAATTCTGGGTTGTAAATAATTTTCCTTCATTACTTGGAAGATCTTGCTCTGTTGTCTTTTAGGTTCCAGTGTTGCTGTTGAGAAGTCCAAAGTCATTCTATTTCCTGATCCTTTGTACGTGGCCTGGTTATTTCTCCCTAGCAGCCTGTTGAGTCTTCTGTCACCAGTGTTAAAAAATGTCGCACTGATGTCTTTCATGAGGTGTATTTTGATTCATTGTTTTGAGTGCTTTGGGAGCCCTTTCCATCTGACAAGTGCAGTCCTGGGAACTTTTCTTGATTTTATTCTGTTGATGATTTCCTCTCTGTTTTCTCGGTTCTCTCTCTGAATGTTGGACCTCTTGAACTGGTTCTCTGGTTCTGTCTTTTCTCTCATATTTTCTGTTTTTCTTCTTGCTCTGCTTTCTGGGAGATCTCCTCATCTTTATTCTCCAACCCTTCTGTCGAGTTTTTCACTCCCCCTTTTTATGACAGTCTGTTTTTTCATGGATACAGTACAGCCTCTTGTGTCTCTGAGGCTACTGTGAGTGACACATTTTCGCTTATCTCTGGTTTTCTTCTCCCTGCACAGTCCCATTTCCTTCAGGTTGCCCCCGCCATTTGTTTTGACCCTGTCTCCTGTATTGGAAACTTGCCTTGGGTTTCTGGTAGACCTTGGTTATCTCATAATGTTTTGAGTGGGGGAATGAAAGCCAGTTGGAAATTCTGAGTATGAGGGTAGGGCCTGTAGACGCAGAGCTTTACTAAGAGTGATCCAGGTGGGCTGTCTAGTAGGAACCTCTGATTTTAGGATCTCTGGTTCTTTTCTCTTGGGCTGGTGGTCATTTTCCTCCAAGAAGAGTCTTCTGATCTCCTACCTAGAGGGTGAAGGTCTGGGTGCAGCCTTCTGGGAGCCAGGTAGGAGAATAGGATGGGGTGCTCTCTGTTCAGTATTCATTCTGCATTTAGGCACTGTCCCTTCCCCCTATTTGGGTGTAGAAGCCCTGCTCACCTGTGCCAGGTGTCCCCCTCTGTTAATAGGATTCTTGTCCCCTTGGTGCCCATGGTTCTCGGTCACGCCGCTTCCAAGAATGAAGAGGTAGACCAGACAAAGAGTGGTGGGCAGCAAAGCAAAGTTTATTGAGCAAGAGTGTAAAGCTCCCGGAGAGGGCGGGGGGCCTGAGTGGGTTGCCCCCAGAGTTTCTAAGTTTAGGGGGTTTTATCAGCTCTTCTGCAAAACTATCTTAAGCAATCAGGGTGTGCTGAGTCATCCCAATCAGGACTTTGGTCACATATCTGTCTACCTATTGGGTTAATGTCTCTGTGCTGATGGTCTTTTTTTGCTGACATCTGGGGGCTTAGGTCTTAACTGCCCCTTGCCCGTGATATTGACAAATGCTTGCGGTTAATTGTCTTATTTTAGGACATTTTGCAGAAGTCATTTCTGCAAAGGCTGCAAAACAGAATGCAAGTGTGATCCTGTCTAAGCTGCAAAACAGGATGTTAGTGCTGTTTTATCTTAGCTGTCCTGACTCCATATTTTCTTGTTGGGGACCCTGGCCCTGACTGCCTACCTGTCCAACTCACTCCTCCCAGCCCCAGAAACCTTTCGTGTTAGCCTTGCAAGGGAGCACCCCCGGACTGATGGGGGGAAGTAGGCGGGAGGACGGTAGGGAGGAGCAGCAAGAGTGGGACCCAGCTGCAGCTTTAACAGCTTTCACCTATTCTTCTTTATTTTTTTTTCCTTTTGAGGATGAAGTGCTGTAAATTGAGTAATTCCTCATTGCCCATTGCTGCCTTCGAGACTTGGCATTCTTGGGTCTGCTAAAGTCTGTCACCACCCTGCATTCCCGATTCCAAAATCGTGTTGTTAGCATTACTTGTGCTCCCTCTCTGTCCTTCAGAATTTATGCCTTTTTTAAAGAACTCCACGCACTGTAGCTTTACTGTGGTTTGCAGGGAACAAATTTAGATGCGTGTATTGGATCGATCATGAACCTGGAAAAACAGGAGCAGTGGTCATCACAAATGGCATTCCTCCCTTGTGCCAGCCACTGGCTAAGCGCGCTGTAGAATTCAGTCTTTCAGCTTAGAAGTCTCAGTAACTTGTCCTTGTCAGCTCTCATAAAAAAACCAGTTGGAGGGGCCCCCGGGTGGCTCAGTCATTAAGTGTCTGCCTTTGGCTCAGGCCATGATCCCAGGGTCCTGGGATCGAGCCCCACATCGGGCTCCCTGCTCCGCGGGAAGCCTGTTTCTCCCTCCCCGACTCCCCCTGCTTGTGTTCCCTCTCACTGTGTCTCTCTGTCAAATAAATAAAATCTTAAAAAAAAAAAAATCAGTTGGAAATTGAGATTTCCAGATGAAGTGTTGACTTCAGTCTGTTTCACCTCTAATAACTGCGCACAGAGGCAGAGAACCGCACACCCACAGAGGAGCCGCATGTTTGGCTCTGTTTCCTTTACCCTCATCGTTTCCCTCTCTGGATGCTTCTGCCCGCAGAGGAGCGTGCTCCAGCTGCTGCAGTCCAGGAGTGAGGTGGTTCGGCAGTACATGGCCCGGCTTGTCAATGCCTTCGCGTCCCTGGCAGAAGGTGAGTCGTCAGCTTTTCTTCAAAGAGAACGGCTAGGTCTTACGTAGTGCATTCTGTTCCTTTGAAAGGGGACATTCCTCTTCAAGTTCCTTAAAGGCGCCATATGTTTCCTCAGTATATTCCTGTTCAGTGCATCGAAGGTGTCTCGTGCAAGCTGGTTGCTGTCACATTGCTTAGTTTATGTCAGAGCAAATTTTGATGGTTTTAGAGTTTATAAGCCTTCTGGTTTTATTTTATAAGCTTTCTGGTTTTGTAACAGTACTATTTAGACTGTTTTCAAGTATATAACAGGTAATGCATTTTCTGTAATTTTCTGCTTAAGGCAAAATAAAGTTAGTGAAATAATCAGAGCTGATCCCAATAGGCACTGCATCATTTCCTTCAAGAGACTACAAACTCTTGGGGGCGCCTGGTGGGCTCAGTCGGTGGAGCGTGTGACTCTTGACCTCTCAGGGTTGTGGGTTCAAGCCCCACATTGGGTGTAGAATTTACTTAAAAATAAAATCTTAAAAAAAAAAAAAAAGCGGATAACCTCTTATACCAAGAGGATTTGAAAATTCCAAAGGTAATACACACCAAAGCTGAATTCAGAATGACTTTACAAAGTATCATTATCTTCTATAAGTTCTGCTTTGTTTCAGCTTTTTAAATGTGAATAAAGGGAGTTTTCAAATTATGAATATATGATACTCCAAAAGTTGGTTCACTCAATTATTTGCTTGTTCTTCCAACCATTTAGCAGACCTTTATTATGAACGAAGGTACATGCATTAACATCATCTGTATCAAGACTCAAGTCCACAATGGGCTAGTGATAACTCAAGGCTTATTGTAGGGTCCCGGGTATGGTTCCCAACTCCTTCTGCAGGCCACGGGTACATCTAGAAGGAGCAAGGCGTGTGGCCAGAAAGCATTACTATTTGACAGCCTCTATTATAAAGACTAAGGAGCCCATAACATATAGATTCCTCACCTTCTTTCTCCCTGTAGATCTGGCAGTGTTCCCCACAAAAACATAGTGATGAATTATGTTTAAAGATTATTTATTTATTTATTTATTTATTTGAGAGAGAGAGAAGGAGAAGCAGACTCTCCAATGAGTGTGGAGCCCAACACGGGGCTTGATCTCACAATTCTGAGATCACGACCTGAGCTGAAATCAAGAGTTAGAGGCTTAACCGACTGAGCCACCCAGATGCCCCATGATGAATTATGTTTCGATTATAAGAAGAGTAGTTTTCTCGTCATTAAATAGTTGATTGGATAAAACCAACTTTGCAGAAGAAATAGGTTCTAAGTTTTTTTTAGAACCTAAAATTAGCTAAACTCTACATGTATTACATGCAAAGTGTTCATAGAAAGTGATTTTGGGGCATTAACTTAACACAAGATAAATTCTCTCACCCGTGCATCTCTGGTTATATTATTAGGTCGCCTCTACCTGGCCCAGAGCACAAAGGTGCTGCACATGCTGGAGGAAAGGCTGAAGGAGGAGGATGAGGACATCGTCACCCGCGAGAACGTTCTCGGGGCCTTGCAGAAGTTCAGCCTCAGGTGCTGACCGTGCAGTAGGTCTTCGTGGCTCCTGTGAAATCAAATAGGGCTTACGTGAGCCACTGTTTAGTCCCAGTGGCAGCCCAAGAGGCAGATGATATTTTCAGTTAACATTTAGGAGAGGTTGGGTGACTTTCCAAGATGGAGCTAGAAAGCTTATCTCGAATCCTCAAAACCTTCTGCTCAAGCTGCTGCAGAGGGAGGAAGTGCTGTTGTGGTCTCCTCGTGACCGGTAGCTGGTGCTGGCCAGGGGCTGGATTGTGTTCCAGGCCGCATGCCCACGAACAAAACCTGATAGGGCTCAGCCTGCACGTTGCTCACAGCCCGTTATGGGAGGTGCACGTAAACGCACAGTCACGTCAGTGTGCTCGGTAGTTCCGTGGAAGGCAGGTTTGGGGCCTCCCGCTTCCTTGTGCGTGCGTCCCAGCAGCCCACCCTGTAGTCCCCACCTGGACCCTGTCAGGACTTGCATGCTCTATCCACCTAGAGCTTGCTTTTCTTCATGAACAGCTTTATCGAAGTGTACTCTCATAGCACAGAATTCATCCCTTTTAAATGTACCATTCACTCATTTTTAGTGTACTTACAGAGTTGTACAACTATCACCACAAGCTAATTTTAGAACATTTCCATCACCACACAAAGAAACCTCAGGCCCATTTCCAGTCCTTATTCCGACCCCCAGCCCTAGGTAACCACTGATTTGTTTTTTGTAGTGTTACCCATAATGGACATTTTTAGGTAAGTGGAATCATATAATACTTGTTCTGTTTGACTGGCTTCTTTCACTTAGCATAGCGTTTCTGAAGTTCATCCATATGGTAGCCTGTGTGAGTACTTTCTCCTTTTGTAATGCTGAAGAACACGCCATTTCATGGACAGACCACATTTGGTTTATCTGTTCATCAGTTGATGGACATCTGGATTTTATCTACTCTTTGTGTCTAATCGTGTTCTGAACATTTGCCTACAAGTCTCTGTGTGGATGCATCCTTTCCCTTCCCCTGAGTCAGTCAGTGTCTAGGAGTGGAGTCACTGAGTCATAGAATTCTTCCAGCATGTGGATTCCCTCAGGAGCACCTCACTTTCTCTTTGCCTTAGGAAGAATTCTAGTACCTTGAGTCCTCAGCTTTTTCTGATCGTTAGTCCTCTTCTGGACATACTTTCTTCCTGTCAGACGTGGTTGACATGTGATTGACTCTCGCTAGTATCCTAAGGCCTGCAAAGTGACTTATTCTAAGTGTGCACATTTAGAGAGGGAAAAGCAGTAGGTGTTCAGTTCCTACTGTTTGCCAGGTCCCTGCCAATGAAAAGTTCTTGTTCAAACTATGTGTGAATTGAAAAGAACTGTAAGTGGTAAACTCCAGCAGTAAAGCTCTTGTTTCCTCAGATCATATGAACACTTGGTTTTTGTTTAGAAAGATAATTTAGCTTGATGTTGACCGTATTTGGAAAATTTTTGGAAATTTAATAACTATAGCAACAAAGATAAGATATAATGAAGAAATACTTCCTCCTGGTAATATAGATATTTATTGCCAGTTTTTTCTTGTGCTTCAAACAGTAATAAGCTGTTCTGTTCTAGAAATATGCTTGATGTCTTTGCAATGTTCTAGGGTCTGTACAATGAAGGTAGAGAGTAGTTAGGATTACCAAGAGTGTTGCCTTCATTGTATTCCAGTAAATTTCACTGGTGAGGTGAGTGTGGTGTTTAAGAATAGCACAGACAGGCGCCTGGCTGGCTCCGTGAGTGGAGCATGTGACTCTTGATCTCAGGTTGTGAGATCCAGCACCACGTTGGGTGTAGGGATTACTTAAAAAAATAAAATCTTAAAAAAAAAAGAATAGCCCAAACAGATAGTGCCCTGGGTGCGAGTTTTACCATAGCCTGTTCATTAGGAGATGTACAGTGGTGTTTCTTCCATGGTGTTTTGATTTTCAAAGAATTCACATGACTTCTCATGGTGATACCATCATGCTTAATCTCATCAATTCTTTGGTGGGGGGACGAGCAAAGGGAGAGGGAGAGAGTCTTAGGTAGGCTCCACGCCCAGTGCAGAGCGGGACGTGGGGCTCGATCTCACAACCCTGAGATCATGACCTAAGCTGAAATCAAGAGTCGGACGCTGAACCGACTGAGCCATCCAGGCACCCTGAATCTCATCAGTTCTTGAGGTTGGCAGGAAGACATTCCCACCATAACACATTTGGATGAGATGTTGGATTTTATAAGATCTTACACCTAGACTTTGGGCAGAAAATAATTCTGTATAAATTGTATTGCTCACATCATTAAACTACCCTTACGTTACAGAGACCTGAATCAAAATGGGATTGAGCTGATTTTTGGCTTTTCTTTGTTTTTACACAGCTCAAAGTGCCTAGCTGGACTAGAGTTTACTAAAAATCTGTTTGTCAATGAACTATTTCTGTGGCTGTCTGCTGGGTGAAGTAGACCAAAAGCTTTCAGTAAATATTTATTAAATATTTGAAGTAGTACTCTGCTCATTTTAAATAGAAAAAGAAATTTTCAAAGTAGAAGGTGTCCTGACTGCCTTGTCTCTCTCTAAATCCTTAGGGATACCTGCAAAAGGTAAAGAATTTGTTGTTTCAGTTGTGTGTGGGTCTAACAAAATGTTCTTCAGAGTCTGTATCTTCCACAGTTTGTCTTGTCTCTTTTTTTTCTTAAGATTTATTTATTTATTTGAGAGAAAGAGAGCAGGGGGGAGGGGCAAAGGGAGAGAGAATCCTCAAGCAGACTCCCGCTGAGTACAGAGCCCAGCAGGGGGCTCGATCCCATGACCCTGAGATCATGACCTGAGCTGAAACCAAGAGTCGGACGCTCAACCGGCTGAGTCACCCAGGCGCCCCATCAGTTTGTCTTTTCCAGTCGGTATGCACATCACCACGCACTCTTACAGGGAAAGTTTCTTGCGAGCTTTAGTTGACCTGTAGGCTTTTGCATCCTAGGCGCCCGCTGCAGACAGCAATGATTCGAGATGGCCTCATCTTCTGGCTGATTGATATTCTGAAGGACCCCGATTGCCTGTCGGACTATACACTGGAGTACTCGGTGGCTTTGCTCATGAACCTCTGCCTCAGGAGTGCAGGTCTCACAGCCCCCTGTCCCTGGGCCCTCTGGCTTTGGTGCGGGGGAGGGGAAGAGAGCCTAACCCTCAAACCTGGATGACCACCCAGCCTGATGTGGTTTGCCTTTAGTCTCCCTCATAGAAAACTGAAACAGCAGTAGAGTATAAAACATTTCCAACTAGTTATGCAGCTGTTGAATCCCTGAAGCCTGATACCATTCTGGCCTTGGAAAAGAACATTTTATAGGTATGCAGTGCCTGAATTAAGAGGAAATTAAGTAGTTTACATTTTTCTTCATCTTCATTGCATTATTCAAAGGTAGGAGGTGAAGAATTATGATCCATTCTATCCAAAGACAGAGAAATATGTTTCCAAGATTCTACAGGGCTAAGTTGGGGGCAGAGCAAGGATGTCAGACCGTGTCCCTGCTCCTAACCATGGCCGTCGCTCCCCCTTCACTCCCCCGACATGGGATTCTCCCGTGCACATCTCGGGACATTTGATCCATAAAAGTAGTGATTGCAGCTTTTCTAGAGGTTCCATCCCATTTAAGTGATCTGTTACCTGGGATGGAAGAAGCTTCTTTAGAAGAAGTGTTAAGTCCAGCCTGTGGCTGACCCCGGTCTGAGCAGCCCCAGTTTTGGAAGAAGAAGGTTACATGGTTAAATAACTCAGCGGTATTTATGAGAAGCTTCGTTGCCTTTGGATGCTTTGTAATCTGAACCACTCATGTGTTGTTGACTGAGTAAATGTGATTTCAATCTTCTTAAGCTTAAACAATAGCATATGCAAGTATCCTAGCTTTGAAACATTTACCAGATTCTAAGCAGCTTTTCTTAGTATCACCAATTTATTTGCAGCGATTGTTACGATGTTTGGATTGGCTAAGACACCTGTATGATTTTTATGATGGTGGTGTGAGCACCTGGGAGGCAGAGCACAGCTCTGTAATAGATTGTGTTCCCACTGACGGTCACGAATAGCTCTGTGCCCTCTGCGCCACCATTTACTGAGCACTCGGAATGCACAGCCTGTTCTGAGTTACTTCCTTCTGCATCACCCTTTGCAACAGATGTTAATAATCCCTAAGGAATGCCAGGAGGAAGAAACTGGGGCCCAGATTGGCTAAGTGACTCACCTGGGGCCACACAGTTCATAAGCAGAGGAGCCAAGATTTGTGTTCAAGTCTGCCTGACTTGAAACTGTGATTGGACGTTTAGACATGTCGTGTTTTGTCTCCTTGTTTTTTCTAAAGGGAAGAACATGTGTGCCAAGGTGGCGGGTCCGGTGCTAAAAGTTCTGTCGGATCTGCTCGGCCATGAGAACCACGAGGTACTGGGCTGGCGCTGCCAGCCTGGGGGTTGGGGGAGGCTGGCCACGCTAGTCAGTGCACCCCCTCCTCCACATTCTGGAACTGGGAAGCGGGAGGTTGATCCCAGCTCCTCATTTCCTATCGCTCCGCCGTCACGGGTCTGTGTCAGCTCCCTCCCAGGCCTCACTCTCCTCCTTGTCACCTACCCTGCTTCGTGCTTCCCCCACGTCGGCTCTCCCCGTGGTGCGGCGTGGCCTGAAAGTTTAGTTAACGCTGTTCCTGCATGTGTAACTGTGTCAGTGGTATTGCGCTCTAGATCGCCTTCTTTTCTTACTTTTTCACTGTTTTTAGACTTTTCTGTGTTGCTTTGTGTACCTCTCATTCCTTAATCTCGCCACTGCAAAACAGCCCCTGTTTGCGGCGCCCCCATCCAGTCCCCCAGGCTTGTCCACCTCCGCTGCCTCCAGCCCTGAGCCGCCACGCCGGTCCTCAGTGACATCGTCATACTGGCCCCCAGGGGCCCCCGGGGTGCAGACACACGCGTCGCTGCTGGCTCGCCCTGGGGGTCCGTCTCAGGTCGGAGTCCCGCCACGTTGTCCTGCAGAGTGGCTCTACCAGCCTCTGCTCTCCCCCGTGTCCTCCCCAACACGGTGGGGTTTTCTGTTGGCCAGCCTGTTGGCCATAAGCCCTTTTAAAATGAAGTAGAGGTCTTGATAAACTAATTGATAAACTAGTAGCTTTTATCAGATTCTCAAGAGATCCCTAACTCCTAAATCTTAACATGGTATGAGTGTCCTCTCACTGGCTTTCTGCAGATGCCTGTGCAGAAACCGTGGCATCACTTGGCACCTGAAGCCAAAGCCTCAACAGAAACCTGACCTCTTTAGCCAGATCAGGTGCACGGGTGTCTTAGCAGGACAGGACTGAGTACCACTGGGTCAGAGTGAGGCACTTAGCTGCAGACAGCTCTCCTTCTCTTCATTTGTCTCGCATCTTCCATCCCCCTGGCCCCCCCAGCTGAGTGACCCGGGCCGCTTCAGCAAGTGAAGGGTTGGTGGTTGTTACAGTGTATGCCATGCTTTTTATATTTTAAAATCAAGAGCTCTTGACTGCTTCTAGACTCTGTTCTCCATTTTATTCAACGAAGGCAGTTGAAGCCTACGGGAAATATATTCAGTCTCTAATAGTAAATGTTGGTTTCAAGTGTTGGAACCAGTATGTTACCTCTGAGGACAGAATAGACCGGAGGATTGTTACAAATATATTTGCTTTGAAGATGAGCTGGAAAATCTACCTGTACACATGTTAGAGCCTAGAAATGTGTTCGCTACACAAATCAATGCTACGTACATGTGTCCTGTGTGAGATAGTCGTGATTTTGAAAATGAAACCCGAGAGCCATAAAGAAAAAGATGCACAGATTTGACTCTGTGAACATTAAATTTTTTTATATGGAAAAAGAGGCCACAGTAAGAGTCAATGGACAAATGATACCCTGAGGAAAAGTTTGTATCACATAGGACCAAAGTTTAATATCCCTTATATATGAAGATCTCCTGTAAATTGATAATTAAAAGACATAAGAAAAGGATAAAGTGCACACATGGGCAGTTTACAGAAGAGTAAATCTCGATGACCCATAGATAAAGACAAGATGTTTAGTTTTGCCGATAGTCAGGAAAATGAAACTAAAAACAACCATAAGATGCCTTTTTTCTCTTTACCCATTAGACTGGCAAAAACTAAGGGATAATAAAGTCCAGTGCTGGAAAAGAATGGTGGGAATGGGCCCTCCTCCATTGCTGTGGAGGGTGTAGCACAAAATCTACTCAAAAGGGAGCTCTCATTTATCAAGCACCTGCCATGTACTGTGTCCTGTGCAGCTTGAGGTTGGGGCTACCTGTGTAAGTAAAACATGGGTCCAGTCCTTGAAGAGCTCACAATGGGGGAGACAGAAGTATAAATATAAAAATAGACTGAATCCAGTAGAGCAGTGGAGGGATATACAGGAAGCAGAGCAGAGTGTGTGGTGTGGTGGGGGGCCCTGTAAGTAGGGTGAGACCGATCTGTACAGTGTAAACCCCATGGTGGCAGGAAGGGAGGGGCAGGGGGACATGATATGGAGGCCAAACCTTGAAGGGGCCTGTGTGCTGTACTAAGAAGTTAGAACTTTCCAGGTAGGCTCTAGGGAAGGTTTCCGAGGTAGGAAGCGGGATGATTTGGCCCATGTTGTAGAATTTTGGCAATGATGTGATTGTTGGACTATAGTGTGAACATCAAAGGCAGAGAGAGATTCTTTTGGAGATTGAGTGTCACCTAGGTCACGGACGATGTCTGAGCAAGGTCAGTGGCAGTGTGTGTGGGAAAGAAGGGTTCCTATCAAAGGAGCCTGGAGACTGAACTCTGGAGAGAAGCGAGAACAATCGATGATGACTCCAGCGGTTCTAGAAGCCTGCGTGATCAGCATGACGTTAGTTAAGCAGTGAAACACAGCAGGAGTGAGCTTTGGGAGCCAATAATGAACTTGGCTTTGAACTCTTAGTTGTCGCTGTCACTGGGACATGCAAATGGAGAGATCGGTCATTTGGAAACAGGCATCCTGGAGCTCAGGAAGATGGTAACGCTCACTCTCCTCATTAGCCAGATTATTCTTGAGTGGGGTGTTTGATCACGGAGTTGTACAGTGTTTGAGAACTTGCAAATGACCGTTTTTTCTCCCCTTAAAGATACAGCCGTATGTGAATGGAGCTCTGTACAGCATCCTTTCTATTCCATCCATTCGTGAGGAAGCAAGAGCAATGGTAAGAAAATGGGCTGGAGCAGTTCGTAAGCTTCAGTCAGTGGCGCGGTTCGGAAGCTGTTAGAGCAGGGAGCTCCTAGACCGTGTTGGGCTCCGTGGCTTACACACAGTTTGCGAACTCCCTGAAATTATATGCCAGATACACATGTGCAGTTTTCTGGGGAGAGAGTCTGTAGCTTTTATCAGATTCTCAAGGGATCCCTAACTCCTAAATCTTAAGAACTACAGTGTTAGAGGGGCTCCTGGGTAGCTCAGTCAGTTAAGCAACTGCCTTCAGCTCATGTCACGATCCTGGAGTCCCGGGATTGAGTCCTGCATCGGGCTCCCTGCTCTGACCCTTCCTCCTCTCGTGCTCTTTCTCTCTCTCAAAAAAAAAAAAAAAAAAAAAAAATTTTTTTTTTTTTTTTTTAAAGGAAGAACTACAGTGTTAGAGGGGCACCGGGATGGCTCAGTCGGTTGAGTGTCTGACTCTTGATCAGCTCAGGTCCTGATCTCAGGGTCGTGAGCCCACATTGGGCTCCCTGCACTGGGTGTGGAACCTGCTTAAGATTCTCTCTGTCCCTCTGCCCCTGCCTTGCTCATGCTCAATTTCTCTCTCTCTCTCTAACAAAAACTACAGTGTTAGAAAGTTCCCAGCAGGCTTATTTTTGGAAAGTTACATTTTTATAGACATTTTTAATGGTTCATTTTAATTTGGGGCTTTGGGTAAGCCTATGCATTTCATAGTAGGAGAGCAGGAAAATGGTAAAATGGAGAAAGTCCCGACTGAAATGCACCCCCAGGATTCCTGGAGGGCCTGGGGCAGCAGTGAGAACTGGCGCAGGCCATGGGGCGCCTGGGTGGCTCAGTTGTTAAGCGTCTGCCTTCGGCTCAGGTCATGATCCCGGGGTCCTGGGATCTAGCACCGCATCGGGCTCCGTCCTCCACGGGAAGCCTGCTTCTCCCTCTCCCACTCCCCCTGCTTGTGTTCCCTCTCTCACTGTGTCTCTCTCTATCAAATAAATAAAAAATCTTAAAAAAAAAAAAAAAAAAAGAACTGGTGCAGGCCAGACACTCTTAACCTACGGGCACTCCGACAGCAACCAGTGGGGCCAGAAGTCCAGCTAACGATGATGAAACTGTCAGGTAGCTACTTTGGTTGGTAAATAGTGAATTCAGTATTTAGTGTGTTTACATTAGTGTTTATATTGGAAGTATAAAACAAGCTTCAGGCGATTAGCATCTTTTAAAGTGACAAGTGTTTCTAGATCTAATCAGCAAAAGCACTGGAGTTTTGCCCTTTTCCCTGTAATGTGAAACCAGCTTAACAGTGGGCATATTAAATGCTATGATGAAGAGATTAAATATATTTCCACAGTCAAAACACAGGCCAAATTCAGTTTGAGACCAACGAAACATGTTCTTCCACTTGATTTTGCTTCCTTAAAAGAATTGCTAAAGCTCCTAATTAGTCATCTAAAATTACATCAACAGTTATGCCAGAGATAAAAAATTAAGAACCATTCTGTGTGGTCACAGTATAGTAATGCAACTTAACTGCCTATTGTTTTAAAAAAAAATAAAATCTATCTCAATACGGAACAGGGAAAATAAACTTGATTAAATTCTGCCTTATGGTCATTCCGGTGACAGGAATTGTCAACCAAGGCCAAAACAAGGAAGCAGACATGTAGGCTGAAGAAAAAGAAAGAACAGAGATGATATGGATCAAGTAGCATGAAAAGCAGCATGGAGGAAGGACATCCAGGGTGAGGGGTGGAGAAGACAGGAGGGAACGGCGGTAAAGGGACAGGGACCAGGTGGGGAGGAGAGACTTGAAATTGTAGGGTGTGAGGGTGTGACTCTTAGAGATCATCCAGGCCACAGAGAAAAAATGTTGAGGAAAGGGACAGTGCCTCAGACCTGGGGGACGATACCCAGAGGTCTCACACTTATGTAACTGGAGTCCCAGGAGAGGAGAATATGATATTATAAGAACTCTGTTTTTGCAACTATTTGTGTGCTGGTGGAAAATGACGAAGAATACCTAAAAATTATATCAGTACCAAATGCTATTATGGCAGTCTCAAAATAATACCCACCAAAGTGGAGAAAATGGTGAAAGAGTACACTGAGCCCCATTTGAACTTGGAAGAGACTGCCAAGGTCTGGGGCGGGAGAGCAGTTCAGATCAATAGGGATGCCCTCATGCCTACTCCAAAGCCTCCTGCATCCAGGGCTGAAGCAGTTGTCAGCCACGAAGCTCTTCTGTGGGATTTAAACCCCAGCCAAACATTCCGCCCTGAGCTGGAGCAGACTGCTGCCCTCTTGGCACCCTCTTCCTTGATCCAAGGACTATCCAGAGTTGTTCTTCCCTTCCAGACCACTCCTTCACGTTCTCCTCTGTGTGCTTACCTATCTCTGCCTACCAGTTAAATGTTACTGTTCTCAAAGATGCTGTCCTAAGCCTCTCACTCTTCTGTCACCTGCAACCTTGTTTATTCCCTTGGCCTCAGCCAGCAGATCTCTCTTCTGAGCCACAAAACCCTTCCAAACAGCAAGCACAATCTTAACCATTTATTGAGCATCTATTGTGTGCCAGCGGTTGGACTAGATGCTATTTTTTTACATATGATTTATGAACAGTGAAATGCATAGGCCTTATATACGTAGTTCCGCGCATTTGACAAACATACATCTATATAACCAATACCCAGTTTACATTCTTCATCTTCTAAAAATTTCATGTTAACTAGAGTTGCCATCTTTATTTTATAGTTGAGGACATAGGCTGAGAGGAACTAAGCAATTTGACCAAGGTCACACAGTTAATTCATGAGGGAGCTCAGATACAATCCAGTCTTAACCTTCTAGAAGGTAATGCTCTGCTCTAGGTGATGGGAATTCACCGTGTTCAAAACTGCACACTTGGCACTTCTTTGATTCAGTTAGAGCTATTGATTCCAAACAGGCCTGCCTTTAAAGAGGGAAATGTTGGCTCATTTCACTGAGAAGTCCAGGCATAAACTCCAGGCAGAGCTTGATCAGAGTTCACTGTTAGTAGATCCATTTCTCTCTGCTTCCTCTGTTTTGGGTTCATGATGAGAAACACTTTCCCCTTGCAGTGGCAAGAAGCCTCCCCAGCTCCAGCCACAAATCCTCATTCGCATCCCTCAAGGAAAGAGGAGGGAGGGGAGACAGACACCTGTGCTCGAGTCCGTGTCTTAACCTCTACGTTTCCCTACAATTCTGTTAGTCAATATTGAAAAGTCTGATGTCAGCGTTTTATGATAAAGTAAATAATGTACGGTGTGGTGACTTTGTAATTATTTTGATAGAAAAAGAATGATAGCTGTTTAAAAAGAGGTGCTGCTTGTTCATTTACTTCTCTACACGTACGGTTTTACTCTTCATTTTGTGCCTAAAATCCAGAAGGAAGAGTATAAAGAAATCGCAAGAAAGAAACCACCTCCCAAAACAACATACTGCCCAAACTAAAGGGAGTACTTACTTACCCAGTAAAATTTTACAGTTTTTTTTTTTCACTTATTATCAGAGTATAGTTGACATACAGTGTTATCTTAGTTTCAGGTGTACAATATAGTGATTCAACAATTCTCTATGTTACCCAGGGCTCATCAAGAGAAGTGCAGTCACCATCTGTCACCATACAACATTATTACAGCATTATTGACTATATTCCTGATGCTGTACTTTTTTTTTTTTTTTAATCTCCATGACTCCTTACTTATTCTCTAACTGGAAGTTTGTACCTCCTAATCCCCTTCACCTACTTCACCCCTCCCTCCACCCACCTCCTTCTGGCAACCCCCAGTTCTCTGTACAATAGGTTTTCTTGTTGGCTAAATGTTTTATAATTTGGTCGGATAGTCAACCAAGAGGAAAATAATTCCACTGTGAATTGTAAAAAGAACAAAAATAATGCTTAGTACTAGCAGAGGAATTTTTATTGTGTATATCCCTCCCCTCCAAATAAAGGGGTTTTTTTTGATTAGGTGAAACTATTCCATTGAAAACTAGTTTCACCCCATTAAAAAAAAAAAAAAAAAAAAAAAAAAGCCCTGAAATATTAACTCTTACTCTCTCCAATGCCCCTAGGGAATGGAGGACATCCTTCGCTGCTTCATCAAAGAAGGCAATGCTGAAATGGTCCGCCAGATCGAATTCATCATAAGGCAGCTTAATTCAGGTCCGTTCAATGCAAGAATCTGTGATCTTTTGCATCTTTCACATGGGCTAGAAAAATGTGTGAGCTTTCTTAGAAGGCTTGTCGTGTCTTGGAATTCATTCAAGAGGCTTTAAGGGAGGTTGGGGAGACCCAAGCAAACCCACCAACAAAAGTTTGACCAGGTAGTCAAAGCCAATCTGTCCCAAGACCAGCATCTCTCATCACACTTCAGGCTTATAGTCAAAAAAAGAATTCAAAAGCTATCACAAACACCCTGCATGTAGGGTACATTCTCTTTATGCGGGCTTCCCCCTCCTAATTCTTCCCCCACCTCATAAGGCTTCCCTGGGGTCCCAGTAAGGAAAACAAATGCCAGTCTCCCCAGCACTGCTACAGAAAACATCATTCTGGGCGCCTGGGTGGCTCAGTTGGTTAAGTGACTGCCTTCAGCTCAGGTCATGATCCTGGAGTCCCTGGATCGAGTCCCGCATCGGGCTCCCTGCTCGGCAGGGAGCCTGCTTCTCCCTCTAACCCTCCCCCCTCTCATGTGCTTGCTCTCTCTCATTCTTTCTCTCTCAAATAAATAAATAAAATCTTAAAAAAAAAAAAAAAGAAAAGAAAACATCATTCTCCCGCATGCATTCATTCTTTCAAGAAAAATTTATATTGCCTACTGGCTCCACGGGAGGATATGATCCTCTTTCTCTCTGGCTTTCTCCATTACCGTGACAATCTACATCCCATAATAAGGAGGAAAGGAAGGTGCAGGAAGCCTTGGATGGAACCAGGATGGAGAGGAAACTCTAGCTCTTTCTGTGGACCCCTGACACCTTGCTCCTGACTCATACACCTGTCAGAGGCACCTGGCCCTGCCTACCTCCAGGGCCTAGTTTGTCATGTATGTCTTTCTACATGCCCTTCCCATCACAGAAAGTCCATGTGACAGATCCTGCCCCGCACATGAGCGAAGGTAAAAAATGAATCTCCTGATCGCTACTTCCAAGTCAGCAGCTTGAGCAAGGTAGCTGCCAGAAGCCATTCACTGGAAGAAGCCCATAGGTAGCTCTTTAGCTCATGGTTCACAGCCTGGGCTGCACGTGGCAGTCACCTGAGGAGATTTTTAAGTCCCCAAGGCAGCATCCCGTGCTGGTGAAATCAGAATCTCCGGGGGAACCCCAGGTGTGAATAGTGTTTAAAGCTCCTGGGTGATCCCCATGGGCAGCCAAGATGGCGTATCCCTGCCTCTGACGTGCACCCAAACGGAGAGGCAGAAAGAGGATGTTAGAGGCTCCTGATCAACAGGAAGCAGCTGGGAGAGCAGCCTGTGAGGTGTGAGACCTCAGCTGTCTTTAGGCTAGGGCCCATTTCCATGTGAACATCCTCCCCCGTGGTTCCTACAGAGCAAATATGATTCATCCCAAATTCAGGTGAGCAAGGAATAGAATTTGATTTTCTGCAACAGCTTCATTTCTTTTTTTTTTTAAGTTTTATTTAATTATTTGAGAGAGCTCGCATGTACACGAATAGAGGGAGGGGCAGAAGGAGAGGGAGAGAGAGAATCCTCAAGCAGACTCCCTGCTGGGCGCAGAGCCTGACACGGGGCCCGAGATCACGACCTGAGCCAAAATCAAGAGTCAGACATTTAACCGACTGAGCCACCCAGGTCCCCTGCAACAGCTTCATTTCTTTCTTTCTTTTTTTTTTTTTAGATTTTATTTGTTTATTTGAGAGCATGCGCGAGAGAGAGCACGAGCAGAGAGAAGGGGTGGAGGGAGGGTGAGAAGCAGACTGAGCCAGATCCTGGGATCATGACCTGAGCCAAAGGCAGACTTTTTTTTTTTTTTTTAAGATTTTATTTATTTATTTGACAGGGACACAGCGAGAGAGGGAACACAAGCAGGGGGAGTGGGGGAGGGAGAAGCAGGCTTCCCACCGAGCAGGGAGCCTGATGCGGGGCTCGATCCCAGGACCCTGGGATCATGACCTGAGCCAAAGGCAGACACTTAACGACTGAGCCACCCAGGCGCCCCTGCAACAGCTTCATTTCTGACTTCAAGCCCCAATTCTGCTGGGCAGGCATATTTACAAAATAACGCTAAATAAAACCTTAACTTCAGTCAGGGCTGAGCTTGCTCCCTAACCTTCTTTGGGTAGGCAACAGTTTAGAAAGAGAGGGAAGGCCAGGAACATTGGTCCCTTTCTGCTCCATGCTCATCAGCCATGCTGACACCTACGTCCCAGGCCAGGGGTCCTGTGCAGCCTCAAGGTCACATCTAGCCGCGAATCTTCTTCAAGCGTGACTCTGTGTTTCAGTCTATTGAGACATAGCCACCTCCATTTCTTTGTCAGTCTTCCCTCCTTCCTGGCTGCCAAGGCACAGGGGGAGGTCCGCCTTGCTCCCTGGCCGAAACCATCTCTTTCTCTTACGTAAATCTGGCCCTCAAGCCAGCGTGCTGACAAATGTGAAGAGGGAGGGTCAGTTGACATTTCCATGAGAGATGTGCTTTGCCAAGAAGTTATCGCGGGCAGAGCTCACACTTTATGTCCAGAAAAGGCCTGAGATACACTTGCCTTTCTCGGTAAGTTCCAGTTTAAAGAAAGAATGTCAAGCACTTAAGTTATTCTGTATCCATGGGACAGTGGCAGGTCCCCAGAGACTATTACCTAGGAGTCTGCTACTTTGAACCAAAATTAGAAAGTCACTGAACATTTGGATGGAGGACCAGACATACACAAATACTTTAGGATATGTGTCATGAGCATGGAGTCAGGATGGATGAATGTACCAGCATGGTGATGAAAGCCAGAGAGGGCAGAGCTGGAGTTCCCACCCAGTCCAGGCCTCGTCCTCAAGTGGACAGTAACGGGAAAGTATGAATTAGTAGCAGTTTTCTAGTTTAAGATACGTGAAATGGCATTGCCACAATCCTTATTTTTTTACTTTCTTGTTTCACTTTAGTATATATTTAAGACATGTAAATGGGTTTTCATACATTCAAGCCCATCTCCATTCTCTAGCACCACTTATCTTAGAAAGTTTTAAGGTTTCCAAATACAAAAATTCTAGCTATTTTAGGAACCTCTCCCCACAGGCAGGGAAGGACTGCTCTGGGGAAGCTCACGGGAAAGCTGGTGACCTGGCAAGCAGAGGTGACCGCCAACAGCAACAGCAGGGAGGTTCGTCCGTCATACCAGCCCTCAGCGAGGGGGACTGCAGAGAGGACAGGAGCAGGACAGAGCCAGCCTCACCGGCTGGGCCCTCAGGAAAGCAAGGAGACCGGCAGCTCCAGCACCACACGCTGGTAGTTACCGGAGTGAGGGCAGCGGGTTATGCCAGGGCCCAGCGAACAGAACAGCGTGGGAAACCGGGCTGATGCCCCCGTGATGCCCCAGAGGAAGAGCTGAGGTTTATAAGGTACTTTAGTTCTCAGGACTGGATTGTTCTGGGAAGAAGAGGCCTCTGAGCCAAGAGGCTCAGGGGAGTGAGTATGGCTGGACCAGCCGTGACCTCACAAAATGTCAAAGATTTCTTTTTTAAAAAGTGGCAGAGGGCATTTCCGTTATTTGAAAAAGAAATGTTTACAGTTGATGAATATAGCAGCGACTCCATTTTGAAAGCCACTTGCTTGATGGGCATTTACTGCAGGTGGAACGGAGTCATGCTCCTCGTGCGCTGGGAGGGAGTAGAAGTTAGGTAATGCAGCATCAGCTCAGATGCAGAATGACATAATTTCCCCCTGTCTGGAAAGTAGTTTTCTTGACAATGGTGGGGCCATGATGGGCATGGAGGCGTGCAAGCCCCTCTGAGGTGAGGACAGAAGTCCGTGTCCTGCTGTCCTTGGTCCAGCCAAGTCTGTGGAGTCCTTCCCTTCGAAATGAGGCTCATGTCGAGGACGATGGGTGTCCTGGGGTTTCTACATATTCCCTTCTGTGAAATGGTTTGGGGGTTAAGTTTGGGTCAGTCTGCCACCTTTCTACATGTGCTGAGCAGTCTCTTCAAGAATTGCCTTTCGGGCGCCTGGGTGGCTCAGTTGGTTAAGCGACTGCCTTCGGCTCAGGTCATGATCCTGGAGTCTCGGGATTGAGTCCTGCATCAGGCTCTCTGCTCGGCAGGGAGTCTGCTTCTCCCTCTGACCCTCCTCCCTCTCATGCTCTCTGTCTCTCATTCTCTCTGTCTCAAATAAATAAATAAAATCTTTAAAAAAAAAAAAAAAAGAATTGCCTTTCAAGGGGCACCTGGGTGGCTCAGTTGTTAAGCATCTGCCTTCAGCTCAGGTCATGATCCCAGGGTCCTGGGATCGAGCCCCACATCGGGCTCTCTGCTCGGCGGGAAGCCTGCTTCTCCCTCTCCCACTCCCCCTGCTTGTGTTCCCTCTCTCGCAGTGTCTCTCTCTGCCAAATAAGTAAATAAAATCTTAAAAAAAAAAAAGAATTGCCTTTCAGTCTTTCTTTCCTCCTACTTCCTATTTGACTTCCTATCCTCTTCTCTCAGGCTTTCGTTACTTCTTCTGTTTAAGAAATGAGTGATCATAAGGAAGATACATAAGGAATAAAGGGATGAGTAAGCCCTGTGCTTTGTTCCCCAGGCACTCACAATTCCCAGATAGTGCGTAGCCATTCATACATTAGGAAGCACTGGTCAACCAAAAGTGGCAAGCACTATCAGAGTACTGTCTACTACAGTGCTGTCTAGTACTACCGTCTACCGCAGTGCTGTCTAGTACTACTGTCTACTACAGTACTAATACTGCTGTCTACCGCAGTACTGTCTAGTACTAGTATCTGCTACCGTGCCGTCTAGTACTATACTATAGTACTGTCTAGTACTACTATCTACTATCGTGCTGTCTAGTACTACTACTACAGTACCATCTAGTACTATACTATAGTACTGTCTAGTACTACTGTCTGCTGCAGTACTAATACTGCTGTCTACCGCAGTACTGTCTAGTACTACTATCTACTCCCGTGCCGTCCAGTACTATACTACAGTACTGTCTAGTACTACTGTCTACTACAGTACCATCTAGTACTATACTATAGTACTGTCTGGTACTACTATCTACCACAGTACTGTCTATTTCTACTATCTATTACCGTGTTGTCTAGTACTATACTATAGTACTATAGTACTATGCTAGTACAGTGCTGTCTAGAGAAAATGCTGAGTGTGTTCAGCAGAGCAAGAGAGATGACTACTCAGTGAGGGATCAGGGAAGTCTTCGTGGAGGAGAAAGTAACCGAACGTCTGTAATACCTGCTGTGTACCTGACCCTGGGCCAGGTGGTGTAGTTCTGGCGTGTTATAAAATCCCCCCACTCACCCTAGGAAGTAGGTGGTCTGATACCCGTTTCACTGATGAAGAAACAGAGGCTCATTCTCTGATTCCAGTGTGCTGTTAGCCCCTTTATAAACTCCTTTACAATCTAGCAATGAACCACGAGAGCCTTCGGGAACCCTGCTGCCATGGCCACTACTCCAGCCTCTGTGGAAAAATCATGGGATTTAGAAATAGACTCGAGTCGAATGTGGGAATGTGACCATAAACAAGTCCCTTATCCTCTCTATGCCTGTGTTTGCTCTTTGCTATAGAATGGGAATGAGAGTCAACAAAAATCTTTGTAAGGAGTAAACAACACGTGCGACAGTGCCCAGCACGGTGCCTAGTGATGCTCGTTCACTTCCTTTCCTCTAAATTCCTCTCAAATTATATGCTGGCTTTCAACTTTTCTCCTGCCACTACCAGTGCGTTCTGGTACAAACGGGGAGAGAGATTTAGGTTGTGTAGGATGATCTGAGTCTGTGGCTGCGTGGGCGCCAGAAACCCGATTGTTCTGGTGCCACCTCATTCTTGTCTCTGCAGCAGCTGAAGGGTTCTGTTGGCCAGGGCTCCCCACCGTGTTCACAGTCACTCATTCGTTTACTTTTTCTTTATTTAGAAGAGCTGCTGGATGGTGTTCTTGAATCTGACGATGATGAAGATGAAGATGATGAAGTAAGTTGGAGGCTCTTGACACCACATAAAAAACTTGGGCCAAACTATTTAGTCTCTTGCTTGCCTTGAAGAGTTAGTCCAGAAATGGGAGATTTCGATCCCTGCTGCCTTATTTCTGACAGTTCTGGGGGCTGGTTAGAGCTCAGCTGGGTGGGTGTCTGCTGGTCTCATGTGGGATGTCGTGTGGCTGCTTTCCGTGTCCAAGCTAGCCTCGCGTCCTCCACGGCCTCTTCACGTGGCCTCTAATCACTCAGCGGTCTCGCCCGCACTTCCTTCCCAGTTGGCGGCAAAACTTCCAACCCTCTCCAGGCTCAACAGCGTCAGAGCATCACTCCTGCTGGGTTCTGCTCAGGGCATGTCACGGGGGGCGGCAGCCAGACTCCACCGACTGGAGGGTTCGAGACGGGAGCCCTGGCGGGTGGCCGCGCCTCCGGTGGGCTTGCTGCAGCCAGCACACAGATGCCATACTCCACAGCACTTGGGTTTCACGGGAAGTTAAAAGACAACGGTTCTTCCACATGAATCTTCTGCTTTGAAGGGGCCTGAGCCTCCCCCGGTCTTCCTCGTGGTTGGGAACGTTGGGCACAGAGGCTCACTGTGAGAATCTCTCGGGTGAGAGGCTTGGCTCATTTGACTCCTTTAATTGCATTTGTTTTCATGTGGGTTTCCTCAGCTGTGAAACATCTGCTTACCTGGTGTTTTGAAGCCTGAAGGTTCAGAACTAATGTGAGTGAGTCTCATGAAATGGTATAGAGAATGGTGACTCGTGCACTAGAAATGGATCTGTCAGACAGGCTTTTTCCTTGTTTTTCCTTCAGACCTAGAGAGAACATACACATTACCCTCTCCAGTTCTCTGTAGTAATAATTGGTTTGCATTCCTTCTCTGTTGTGGGGAGCAGTTACTCCTGAAGTGAATGTGGGGGACATGTTTCTCCTTGGAGCTGTGGTCTGTGTGTTTGAAAGGTGTGTAAAAGTCAGATTTCGTCCATCCGTGGCAGTTGGGGAGCTAGTTCGTTTATGAGCCCTCCACCGAAGCAGACAGCCGCGCTGAGGTCCACCAGTGACTGTCCCTCCCACAGGCAGCCTCCCGCCTGCCACTTGCTCCCTGAGCTGTAGGTGGCACCAGCGGGTGCTCTCGCCTTTGTCCCACAAGTGCGGCTCTGGACCTCGGCTGGGGATCCTGGCCAGCACCTTCTCCGGGGGTGGGCCCAGAGGGGAGGAGACCAGCCTCAGGTCACACAAAGTCGATGGCAGCAAAATCTGGTTTAGAACAGGGGTTGGCAGGCTTTTTCCGTAAAGAGGAAAGTAGTCAATATTTTAGGCTTCGTGGGCTCCTCAGGTCTCTGTTTCAGCCGCTCAGGCCCACCACTGTAATGCACAGTACCTGTCAGCAAGACATAAATGGACAACTGTGGCTGTGTTCCCATAAAATTGTGTTTATGGACGCTAAAATTTGAATTCTGGTTGATTTTTATGTGTACTAAACATTTTTTTTCAAATGTTTAAAGATGTAAAACTCCTTCTCAGCTTGCTGGCCTTTCCCAAGCAGGCGTCAAGGAGGGCCTGTGATGTACTGAGCGCTGGGTGTTGTATGCATGCAACTGATGAACCAATCACTGACCTCTACTCTGAAACTAATAATACACTGTATGTTAATTAATTGAATTTAAGTAAAATAAAATTAGAAAAAAAGCCAAAAGCGTCTTGGCCTGTGGGCCATTGTTTGCCAGCTCCCTGACTCAGTCTACTCAGGACTGTGATACAACACCTGCTTTGTGCCTGGCCCTTCGGTCCTGTTCTAAATTAATTACATTTTGAGTTAATGTCTTAATTATTGAATTCCAGTGAGTTTTTGTCATTCTGTCCAAGAGTTCCCCTCAAGATCTCTTTTTCCTCCTCTTGTGTTACCTCTTTGGGGGTTTTTTTGTTTGCTTTGGATGTTTTGTTTTGTTTTGTTGCTATTAACCCCTTTGAATGGCAAGGGAAAATTCATTTGATTCAACTGTTCTGTTAATGATGGGAATTCAACTTTTGGAGATATCCCTATGGAAGCAATTACAGTCTACTAAAAATGAAGGAATAGAGATATCTTTTATTTATTTATTTATTTTAAGATTTTATTTTTAAGTAATCTCTACACCCAGCGTGGGGCTCGAACTCACAACACTGAGATCAGGAGTCGCATGTTCCATCGACTGGGCCCGCCAGGCACCCATATAGAGATCTTTTAATTTTCTGGGCTTTTGGCTATCCTGTGCAGATTATTATTTTAAGAGGGTGGTGTTTGAAAATATTTGTTGTGATAACGAGAATTTTCAGAAGATTCCTAGGAGGGGTGTAGTTGGGAAACTGTAAGGAAAGGATCGGGTGTTTGAGGCCAGAACATGACATTTTGTGCTGAACTCCAGTCAGCAGGTCCTGGACTTCCCCTCCCTTGTGACCCTGACGGCCCACCGCAGAGCATGAGCACAAGCGCCCCGGGGAAGGCTGGGCTGTCTGTGTTTTACTCACCCTTCATTGAGGGTCGGTGTGACTTTCTAAATTGGAAAGAGAAAGGAAAGTGAAAGATGCCCAGACTTAGACTAAAGGAAACTTCCAGAGATCATTTGAGCAAGTCACACTGTCGTTGGAATGTGGCTGCCGCCTCCCAAGCAAAATTATTTTCAAGACCTCTGATCATATGTCATTTTGCTTAGCAATGTAAAATGTTTTTAATTTAATATTTAAACCCAAAACACAGATAACGGAGCCAGTGTTCTCAGGGAGCTGCTCAGTGCTTCTCAAGATAAAATGGCTCTATTGGGGTGTGGCCAGAAGCCACGGGGATTATGCTCGTTTTGCCTTCCATTGAGTTAACATTTGTGCACTTCTGATTGCGGCCATGGGTCCTGCTCCCCTGGAAGCTCAAGAGAACCCCTAGATGCAGAATCCAGTTTTTCTCTCTAATTTCTAAAAATGTAATAACTTGTCCTGATGTGCTATCACTTAGTGATGTCTGATATGCGTACATTTATATGTGAAAATAAAAAATTGTAGAGTTAGAAATGTTTTTTTCGGGCGCCTGGGTGGCTCAGTTGGTTAAGCGACTGCCTTCGGCTCAGGTCATGATCCTGGAGTCCCGGGATCGAGTCCCGCATCGGGCTCCCTGCTTGGCAGGGAGTCTGCTTCTCCCTCTGACCCTTCTCCCTCTCATGCTCTCTGTATCTCATTCTCTCTGTCTCAAATAAATAAATAAAATCTTAAAAAAAAAAAAAAAAGAAATGTTTTTTTCGACTTCAAGACTGTCTGGGGTATGGGGCGCCTGGGTGGCTCAGTCGTTAAGCGTCTGCCTTCGGCTCAGGTCATGATCCCAGGGTCCTGGGATCCAGCCCCGCATCGGGCTCCCTGCTCCGCGGGAAGCCTGCTTCTCCCTCTCCCACTCCCCCTGCTTGTGTTCCCTCTCTCGCTGTGTCTCTCTGTCAAATAAATAAATTAAATATTTAAAAAAAAAAAAAAAAGACTGGGGCATAATGTCAAATGGGAAAAGGAAATCGCAAAGGGATAGGACACTACAATTTCAGGAAGAAAACATAAATACACATTCTGATGAATGATGTATGTGCCTTTGTATAGGTGTAACAAAAAGGCATGGAAAGTTACGTGCCCTCTTTGTGGACACTGGAAACTACCTGGGGGGTAGGTAGGACGAGGAAATGGGGGGGGCGGTGGCGAGGCCTTGGTCAGCCAGAGAGAGTCGCAGAGTCCGTGTAAGTGAGAAGTGAGAGGGCGTGGATTTAGTGGACGGAGGGCGAGTGCTGAGCCCTTCTGAAGACTAATGGGGCGAAAGCCAAACTGAGGAGTTGGGGAGCAGTTGGGAAGTGGGAGAACGGAGCCAGTAAGTGTATGCGGCGCTTCCCACAAATCTGGCTGTGAGCAAGACAGAAAGTGGGATAGAGGCTAAGCAGGGCAGTTTTGTTCTGCTCCGTTCTAATTTGGGAGAGACCTAAGCATGTTAAAATGCTGCTGGGAAGGATCCAGCTGAGAGGGAGAAAGAGTCCGGAGGAGAGAGAAAGGACGGCATCAGAAGGGCAGATGTTGTCATTATTTTCACAATTGCTTCTTATGCTCTCATGGCCCACAAGCCCCCAGGCCCATTTAAACCTCCAGAGAAAGAGAACCATCCTTAATAAAGCTTGGGCCATACAGACACTGCCACAGGCAGGCGACCGCTACAGTGGAAGGGTTTGAACGCGTCTCCCCCGGTGCTTTAAAGAAATGTATCATCTAATACAATTTTTTTTTTTAAGATTTTATTTTATTTATTTGACAGAGACACAGCGAGAGAGGTGACACAAGCAGGGGGAGTGGGAGAGGGAGAAGCAGGCTTCCCGCCGAGCAGGGAGCCCGATGCGGGGCTTGACCCCAGGACCGTGGGATCATGACCTGAGCCCAAGGCAGACGCTTAACGACTGAGCCACCCAGGCGCCCCCCAATTTATTTTTGTATTAAGCATATGTCGTATGTCCCCAAAGAGCTGCCGGTAAATCACAGGGCTCAGGAATCCCAAGGCCTGTGTCTCTACCACAAATGGCTCGTTTCCTTGTGACAGTTTAAGGTGAGGTGTCCAGCTCGTAAGTAGAGAAGAAAGGCCTTCCTGTGCTATTTGAGAAGATGGATTTTAAAACAAATATTCTCCTCTCTTAACAAAACAGGTTAAAGTGCCAGAGGAGATCAGCCACCTGGTAAAGAGAGAGATTTAATTGCTGGTTGCCACATAAGTGACAATCAAATGCTCAGCCATTTCCTTCTCTAGAGATTTCTCATATATAAGAGTCATTCATTTGTTTATTCAACAAATATTTGAGCTCTTTGAAATCACATTATTCTAGGAAATAATGAGGAAGGGAGACAAAAGAAATCTAAAAGTACAGGTGGCTTAAAATACCTCCAAGAGTTTAAAATCTGGAGAGGTGAGACCATCGTGATGGTGATGGCAGGGGCTCAGGGCGGTAGCACCAC